TTTATAAATTCTCAACTAATCTTCAAACTATTTTGACATTACATGAAGTATAAAGAGTACATTTTAAAAATTATGCGCCGTGGGGTCACTTTTTGACCCCTTATAGGAGTTTTAGTGGATTGAAAATCAGAACATTTTCGAATTTCTTTAATAACCACGAACGAGTTATGTCTCTTTGAGTAGACAGTGCTGTACGAAGAGAATTGTTATGTTTCCAACCAAATATTGATGTCAAAAGAACTTTTGCAATATTGTGTTATAAGATTTTTTTTTATTGTAAAATATTGTATTTTATTTTAAGATTATTTATTTTAAGGGGTCGAAAAGCCCTCCGTTTTTGTTGAACGACAAAAATAGGGTCTAGTTATTATTATTATTCTTATTTTTTTGACTTTCTAATTTTGTGCACGCGATTTCTCGAAGACTACTGGATGAAATTACATGAAATTTTCAGGACAGATGTGTTGTTACATGTATTTAGTATATCCGAGACAAAATTTGGAAACTCACTTCCGGTGTCAAGTTACGGACAATTTTCTGAAATTAAAATGACATTTTGTCCACAATTAAACTCAAAAACGGTAAAAGATATCAATATGAAACTTTCAGGGATTATAGATCGTGATATATACTAACCAGGACGCGACCTTTCGTTCGTCGTCAATACTTCCTGTCGTTAGGAAATGCGAATTGAAAAAAATTGTACTTTCTAACTTTTTTGTTTTTCAATATTTTTAATTTATTTTTAGAATATTAATAGAGACCTTTCTATTGATGCTTACTTTATAAGTTGTTTGAATATTGGTTAATCTTAACTCTAGATATTAATATTTGAAAATCTGAAGCGGGTCCAAGATGGCGTCTGCCTCTGTTAACTCCGCCATTTCGCGGGTAGGGGTTTATGGAGGCAGCTGAGCGTTTGATTAAACCATTCTGACATAAGGATACATGAAATGTAAAAAAACTACCTGGACTTTCACGTAGTAGTACGTTGTAATTACGTGTCAATCTTAAAACTTAATTTCCGTTTCACTGCTTTAGTTTAAATGGGCTAGATACGATATATAATGTGTACAATGTGTTAAATCTACGTTTTTATTGTCGAAATAAAATACAGTAGTAGTAGTAGTATTTATTTGGTATCATGTCATGTCATAAAGGCGATAAGAACGTTTTATTTATTTAATTTCATTGAAGCTATCACACCTATTTAATAGATCAGTCCAAAGAAAAGGCGCGAATATTTACTCGTGGCATTTGGCGCGAAATAATCAATAGTGGTCCGCTTTTTAAAATTCTTAGACAGGTGTACTGTTGCAAATGTATACACAAGTATATCTAGAGCAGTGCTCCCAATAGCTTAATGGTTTGTGCATTAATAGATCACGTCGTAATTACGTTACACTTCTATGTCAAACTAAAGATTTATTCCAGGGTCTTCTCAAACGTCTTCTGTAACTGGTTTTGGTTTGTTCTCAAAGTAGAAAAAGAAAAGACTAAATATGCAAATGAGAGATACCTATTATCATTTGTTTTGCAAGACGGAAAAACAGATCTTAAATCATAGTTATACGTTATAGTTTTAAAAGTTTTTCAAGAAACAATATCGATGCATGTACATAGTAAGTATAAAACGTATAACCACTGTTTTTCCCATGCACACTTGTGTGATATAAAATGAATAGAAAAGACAAAAATAAGAAAACTATTTTAATAAGATCGTCTAATGGAGTTTATTTTAACATTTTTTTCTCAAAGATCTGAATCAAGTTATTGAACATAAATGGTATCTGATTCCTTGACTGTCGTAGAGCGAGGCATGTTTTTCGGCGAAACATTTTAACCTTTTTAAGAAAGTGTAACAAATCGGCATAGTTCACTTCTGAGACGGGAAATAAAAAAAATTAAATTATAGTCATTTCACTGCTTTTGTGCTACTTTTCTATAGAATGTGTACAATGTGTTAAATATATTTTCTAAACCTCGAAATGTAGGCTATGAGAATGTACTTTTTTCTTAATTTCATTGAAGCTATCACACCTATTTAATGGATCAGTCCAAAGAAAAGGCGCGAAGATTTAACGTGGCGTTTGGCGCGAAATTATGAATAATGGCCCGTCTTTTATAATTCTTAGACAGGTGTACTGTAGCAAAAGTATACACAAGTACATTTAGAGCAGTACTCCCAATAGCGTAATGGTTAGCGCGTTGGGGATAAAAAGGGAAAAAAAGCGGATTGGATTTTTACGCTGGCAACCTGGATTCAATTTGTGACCAAAATGTTTAATCACTTCTCAGCTCGACTTTCCGAGTTTTTTTTATTTCCAGAATCGGACGGAAGACCTCTCGTTGCTCGCAACGAGATCGTTTCTAGTTATTATTATTATTCCTGGGAAAATTTTGTCCTCGAGTGATCTTGTAAACTACACATCTGACTAAGGTAAAATGTTTTTAGGGTCAGTAGACATGTTATGTAGATTTGCCAAACAAAGGTCATTTTGCGCGCACGTGCTTGCAAGAGCGCGCACGTGCAACACGAGAAATGCCCAATATAATTGATATAGACGTAACTTTTTCAATTTTTGATGAAATGCTTTGAAACTCATAATATAATGATATATTAGTAGCATAGACAATATGACATGGTCAAAATAGCAAGATCTCACGCGCATGCACGTGCACTTCGCTCTGATTGGCTGAAACTAAAGTCTCAATATCTTTCTTGTTTTTTAATGAAATTCTTTGAAATTTTGAACAAAGCCATGCATAAGAATGTCCTACAACATGATATATAGCAATTATTATGGAAACACGTGCATGCACGTGCGCTGCAATCTGATTGGCTGAAACTTTAACTAGCTATAACTCCCTTGGTTTTCAACCAAACAGGATGAGATTTGGAACATAGATAGATATAATAAATTTCTACAAGAAGATATGGACACCATGCACATGCATACACGTGCGTGTATGTGCGCTGCAATCTGATTGGCTGAAACTTTAAACAGCTATAACTTTCTTGGTTTTCAACCAAACGGGGTGGGATTTAGAACATAGATAGATGTAATTGACTTCTACAAGAAGGTATGATCACCATGCGTGCACGTGAAATATGTAAAATCAAAAATACACTTGAAAGAGCGTATTTTTGTAAAACTTTGGGATTAAATACTTTAAGATTTTGTATAAATAATATATAGATTGTGTAGACAAGATGATATGGTCATTACGCATATGCATTCACATGCGCACACGTGCATTGCTAAAATTTGAATGAACTTGGTACACTTCTAGGTAAACGTTGTTTAAGTCTCAAGTTTGTCTTCTTTAATGAAGCTTACAGGGAATACGGCACCAAAAGGGAGTTGGGGAGCGTTTGGGGAACATCTGTAACGGTCCCCGTTACAATTAGCACTAGTTTTCTTTGCTTCTCATTGTGATTAATGGTAATATCTGCTGTCTCTGAAATTATATTCTTTATGTCTAGGCTATTAATCCATTGATATACTAGTAATAAAACATGCTATTAACGTGTACAAATTATATGAGCCTAAATATGGAATCCAAGGGAGTACAGTTACTGCTATATGATAATGTACCCAAAATCAATGTGATTACATTCTAAGGAATATATACAATTGAAATTCATCAAAGCTTACATTGATATCAAATAAAACTGTTAGGCAAATGTTAGGCAATGCAAATTCAAACCTACTTTCCTAATAGAATTATCACACGACACTTGAATTAAAAAAGATGAATTGCATTCAAACTGAAAAAAAAAACATTTGAAGCAAACACTATTCAATATTCATGCAGGTACATGCATTTGTTTAAAGCATCAACTACTGGTTTTTATCAATATGATTAACAAGAGATGTTTGTAAAACACATCTGCCCCCCTCCCCCAAATAACTAGAATTTTTTTAAGTCCATGGGGCATTACTCTGTCAAGAATCGTTTGATCGTACACAAACCAGAACTCCACCTAGATCTAAATCTTCTTATAATAATGTAGCCCGCGTGGCACAGTGGTTAGAGCGGCGTCTGCTCTAGAGAAGGAGTCAATCCTTACGTCACCGGTTCGAATCCCACTGTGGGACGTGGAGACCGGTCCTTCGGATGGGACCGTACAAACCGAGACACCGTGTCGCAGTAGGTACTGGCACGAAAAAGATCCCTCACTGCTCAAAGGCCCTGAGTACCGAGCATAGGACAAAATTTGTAGCCATCCACCGGCAAGTGGTGGCGTCTCCATATGAGTGAAAAATTTAATTCTCGAGAGTGACATTAAACAACATACAATATAAATCAATCAATCTTATAATAAATAAATAAAAAATTTCATTTCAGAATGTGCAACTGTTGCAAAGAAAATGAATGGAAACTGCAAATAATTGGAATTTTTCTAAGCCCATTGGATATAACTCCATCAATTTTGGCTCGATCGTACACAAACTAGAACTTGGCCTAGGTATTCTTATGATGAATCTGTACCAAAAACAGAACTTAACATGCACATTTGATTGATTGTATATTGTTTAACGTCCCTCTCGAGAATTTTTCACTCATACGGAGACGCCACCATCCGCCGGTGTAGAGCTGCAAATTTTGGCCTATGCTCGGCACTCAGGGCAATTGAGCAGGGAGGGATCTTTTCCGTGCCAGCACCGACTGCGACACGGGACCTCGGTTTATACGGTCCCATCCGAAAGACCGGTCTCCACGCCCCACAGTGGGATTCGAACCCGCGACGTAAGGATTGACTCCTTACTTCGCGACTCCAGAGCAGACACTCTAACCACTGCGCCACGCGGGCCATGCATATATGTATGATAAATCTACATACCAACATACCATACGGAAACTAGGTGGACCGACAGACCGGCCGACAGACAGCGGCAAAGCAATATGCCTTTCCTCCTTTGAGGGGGGGGGGGTATAAAAAATAAATTTAGGAAAGGGAAAGAATGAAAAAAAAAGCTACTGTTCATGGGGTTTTATGTATTTTTGAACTTTGAGTTCAGTGTACCTGTTCGCGCACAAATTGGAGCCTCGTCATCTTCCAATGGATACTTAGTTTTAAGCACCACCCATTTATGACTTGTTGACATCCCACACATGTAGGTTGAATATTGGCGATATTTGTCAACTCGGACTCGACCAGATTTGCATGTGACTGTGCAAATTTCATTTGCAAATTCCTCGTTGCAAGTGATAACAATGTCTTCTTGACGTTGGAACTCTTGACAAACTTGAATTTAATGTAAACTAGAAATATTAGTATTATTATAATCATGATAAAAACAAAAAGCGTGAATAAATCATTTTTATAAAGTAAGAAATAGTTTTTCTAATTATGGGAGATATTTTTTTCATAGTATTTCAGAAAATGTTATCCTCAGGATTCGTATAAGTAACAGTCTATTTAATGTTTGGATGTTGTTAATCTATACTTTGTTTTTATTATTGTACTTTATTATTTGACACAAAATATAATCTAATGTTTCAAGGAATCAGTTGACTAAAGCGTTTCTTAACGTTTCCTTTAACAAAAAACAAAAAACGATATGCCTGATTTTTCGAATGTGATTTATTTGAAAAGTTTGGATTTACCCAAACTTCCATGCTAAGTGTTTTAAGTAAATAAAAATGTCTTAGTATAGAATTCTTCAATATATATGATGTTTATTCGGACAGCGTGTGGCTATTTGACTCGATAGTTTTAAACGAATAACTTGAAAATGATTTACAAGCAACCTGGAAAACCCGACAATAAATTATTTTTAAAACACAATAAGAAGTAAAAGCAGGAGGCCCATGGGCCACAGCACACTCACGGGCTAGGTAAACATACAAATCAACTCAGCATTGAAAAGTTTCCAGTGGGTGGAGGAGGAATTGTGGCCCCATCCTACCCCTGGGGGTCATGATCTGAATAAACTTGAATCTATAACACTTGAGGATGATTCCACATGAGTTTCATCTTTCCTGGCCCAGTGGTTCTTGGAAAGATTTTCAAACTTTTCCTATATATTCCTTTGTAAGACTTTGTCTCCTGAGTTTGATTCCACGTGACTTTCACGTTTCATCTTTCCTGACCCAGTGGTTCTTTAGAAGAAGACTTTTAAAAGATGCAATTTATTTTTTACTAAGTCATTATTATTTCACCTTCGGTGAGGGTATGGTTCTTTAGTTGAATACACTTGAATTTCCTTCACTTAACTATACTTTGTGGTAAGATTGTTTGAAATTGGTCCGTTGGTTCTTGAGAAGATGAAATGTGAAAAGTTAACAACGACGATCGACGACAAACACAAATATTGCTCAGAAAAGCTCAATTGAGCCTTAGGCTCAGGTGAGCTAAAGCTAAAACGTGCTTAACATAACAATTAAACTTTACATGATTTGAATTCAATTCTAAAGAGAAATTGTTTTCCCTTTTTATAGTTTTATGCTTAAGGATTCAATTGTGTAGCTATTAATTTCTTTTCTGAAGTATTTCTTAGGCCCTGCATAAACCTATGCCAAAGCAAGTGTGACAGTTTTTCTAATTAAAACTTTAAATTATCTGTGATCTTTCTATATTTTGATTCGTATTTAACAATTGGTATATGTTTTATCTTTATAAATATCTTATAGCAAAAGAACTATAAATATCTACCTTCCTTGGTTTCTTTCTCACAATAGAGACCTTCAAACCCCTTTCTGCAATAACATTCGAACGAATTGTTTCCAGTATCGTTGCAATGTCCCTGGTTTTTACAAAGGCCTGGTACACAAACATTGGGTGGTATCTCACACTGGTCTCCACTGAAGCCTGATGAACAATTACAATCTGATGATGAACATTCCTTTGAGGCTCTACATGTGTTGTTGTCATCTAAATACATGAGTCATGTTTAAAGGAACATATCAATGCAAATTATTCACAAATTTCAGTTTTAAAAAAGACTATATTATCATGAAAGTTAATTTGTTATAAACATATTTGAGACGTATGAATCTCACATTGTCTGTAGTAAAGTTAGGTTAAGATGAGAAGGGAAGTGGTTTAATTTGAAAGTGACGGAATCTGGGAAGTCTTGTAAAGAAGAACCCCGCCCTTCCGTAGATAGCTGGCTGTGGTTAACGATATTCAAATGTAAATCGCAATCTAGGGTAACCCTTAAAAGAAGGAAAATTCTATTATAGAATAGAATTTTCCCCTAAAGCCAGTATGTATGCTCCCCTTCTTAAAAATGAACTGAATATCATGGCATATATTATTTGACTATAAGGAAAATGAATTTAACCATTATGATCTTAATCATCATTACGACATATTAAGGCACTAAATTAAAAATATTTTTAAGGTCATCTGCGATTACAATTGCGACTGCGTATTTGGAGGTGGAAAAGGTTAATTTCCTACCACACCCCCGTTCTCTATCCGTGCAACTTCTTTATGTTCACCAAACTTAAATTACACCTATCTAGAAAAAGATACAAATTACGAAATGCCCTTTGGTCTGCAATTTATCAGTATGTGATTGGTTTCCCTATTGAGAAGTATAAAAAAGTTTATATTTCAGTACCTTAGCTGATCGTCTAAAAATTTGACCGGACCAAGAGTGAGTACTTTGAAGAGCATGGATGAATAAAAATCCAAAGATTAATAAATTTGGGTGAAACAGCCAAGTGTCATTATTGGAACATCCCTCATAATGGAATATTTTTCACAAAGTAGCGGTTATCTTGAGTAAACTATTTTTAGATAAATAAGTTAATTACAGTTTAGGAATTTCATTGTAATCCTGATTACATGTAATATTTTTATATTTTCTTTAAAGATTCGTTAGCCAAGTCTAGTATTCAAACATCTAACTCATGGAATAAACTATCATACACACAACAAAAACATACAAAATAAAGCATTTACTATATGATGTATTAATACCCTGATTGTCAACTTTTCAATCATCAAAAGAAATTATTACCAGTCATAACTCTTTGGGTTTTTTTCTTTTCGAGGGAAGGGGGGGGGGTAGTAAAAATAAATTGATATTTGAGAAAATAACATTTATCCCACATTTAATTGAATTAAAGTCATTAAACATGGTCAGTAACGAAACAAACATATTGATACTAGTTACCATTTTCAAAAGCATAAATTATTATTCAAACAATAAAAAATAAGTTTTGTTATATTTCAATGCCACGTCTTCAGGCAAGTGTTTTGATATCCAAATTCGAGTTGATTAAAGCTGAACACGATTCGTTAAAGAAATTGTCAGTCAAATTCGATGGTTCACTCACTTTATCTAAGGGACCCTATATAAAGCCGCTTATTCTCTGTTCAGTTTTATCAGTCGTCAAGTGTAGAGGGGAATATGCTACACAGCACTCATGAGCGACAAAAAAATAAGTGTACCTCTAATGCAGAGAATAAGATACCAAAGAAATCAAACAGTTGCACGGGTCATACACACATACATGCAACTGCGTAGATACATGTACTATATTATCGAAAAATGGCGTTTGCCTGTTTACAAGTCGTGTTCAGCTTTAAAATGTCAATAAAAGGATAAACAAATTATGCAATTTAATAATTTCTAAAAACACTAAACCTTATCCATTTTCTTTAAACGTAAAACATTTTAGCATTTCACATGTCTGATGCTTAAATTCGTACACACTAAACAAAATTGCTAACGCATCACCAAATGAATTAAAGTACTATTTTACTTTTCCAAACTTGTTTATGATATATTTGATATATCATTATGTTACCTGAGCAAAAATAAAGCATTTAAATCTATTAATTCATAAATTGCTACAATAATACAATGTAACTAAAGCCTGAACATTTCATTAAAAAAATATGAAAAATTGTGTCCATACGTCTTTGAAGGGATAATAATATTATTTCATATTTTTTGATAAATAATATTTTTTCTTATAATAACTTTTTGTTCTTTATGTTTGTACGAATAAAAAATTCAGAAAAATTACACCGTATCAGCATTTGATCCTAGAGAAGCATGTTAAAACAAGATGGTCATTTTTGCGTTCTTTCATGACACCAAGAGATTTGTCAAACCCATTGCAATGGCGTATTATTTATAATTATAACAATGAGACAAATGTTCAGTTCACAATGAAAAAAATAATAAGTGGTACGTTAGCAATTTTGTCTAGTGTACATCCTTTACTCAGTTTTATATATACATATATATACATTCATGTATTTATGGACCATAACCATGAATATATTTAAGTACTATCTAGTTAGCTGAACACGACTCGTAAATAAACATACCTATTTCGATATTACTATTTGCGATATCAACACCAGGTTATACTCTTCGCATTCGTTATATACGACTGATTTATTGTCACGGGTAGCAATGTGGAATGGCGACCTGTGTTTGTACTGGTTTCTTGCATAACTTTTGTTAACATTTTATCGCAGTTACGTGTATATGTGTTAGCTTGTATACTGCACTGAACTGTACAACTATTGCTTCTTTGGTATCTTACTCTACTGTATTAGAAGAAGTGTTGTAGTTACATGCTTTTTGGTCACTAACGAGTGCTTAATAGCATACGCCCGTCTACACCGGTGTCGACTGATTACACTGCATAGTGACTATGTTATATAGGGGTCCTCAGATATAGAGAGAGTCCGATCGAAAATGACGCACACATTCGGTTTACGAATCGTATTGAGTTTTAAACTTGGGATAATTTGCATAACGGGTGAAGCCTGTTATGCGTAAAATTATCCCACCTTTCCAGCTACACGTATCTTTCGTTGATGTCCCAGGTATACTCTACTATCTTGGCAATGATTCCTTACATTTCCATTGTTATTAACGGGGCCGACTATAGTTTTCTTGTGTGAAAGCTACAATAGCGAAACTCTTCATTTTTATACATTATATAACTTACATTAACTTCAGTGTACATGCAAAGTTTGGGGGAAATCTACCGTCCAGGTATTTTTGAGGGAGTGTCTCAAAATACAGGTACATTTACTATAAGATTATATAGAAAATGCCAATTTTTAGCACTTTAAAGCAAATTATACAAATACTACAATAGACATTTTGTTCAAACTATAATATTTGATGAGTAATACTATATTATACAATATATATAAGAAACACAAAATTCTACCGTCTTGTCACCAGAGGGGGCATCTCAAAATGCAAAAAGAACTTGATTCGGTAATAACCAATATTTGCCCCCCAAATCAAACTTTGATGGAGATATATTTAATTAAGTTCTTAAACAGGGGAGTATATGCTGACTTCAAAGCACTGAAAATTTTCATAAGTAATGACGCCATATGTACGTAATGACGTCACAAACATGACGTAAATTTCAGTTTTTTTTTATGAATTTTACAGAAAAAGATACATATTTCGTCGATATTTTGAGTAAAAGTCACCGAGCGCATGTGTGTTCAGGATCAATATTTTGATATAATGTGTAGAATGATAATATCAATGAAATATGTCAATATTGTTCCTGAACAAACTTGCGCTCTATAAATTTTAAAGCTAAAGTTGTTGAAATTTTGTCCATTTTGTCCTCTTTCTGAAAAAGGATATGAAATCGGACTAGTTTGTGACGTCATAAAAACAAAAATTGTGAATACACTGCTTTGACACTATAATATTTTCGGTTAATTTATATTTCTCATACAATTTATTGAATTCAGTACATTTCAGGAAATTTTCAAAATTTGACTTTTGTGGGGGCAAATATATGCAATATACCGCATATGGTTCTTTAGCAAATTTTACTATTTTTATAGAGTATTACAAAATATTACGTGCACAATGGATTCATATGAAAACAAAATAAAAATATTGGAGATATTTTCAAATTTCTATGTTTTAAATTCCAAAAGCGTATATTTATTACTTTTTCTTTAATAATATTTTTATTACTCCTTTCTTTAGGAGCTACAGATTATCATAACGTCAAAAACACACTGCAACGACGTCTACCTACCTATCAGTTGCAAAATCGGTTGAAAAATCAGTTATATCAAATTGTAATTACATTTTTATATCTACAATTTCTTAATTTTGTTTGATTTTAATAATTAAGCAAAAAAAGTTGCATTAAACAGTAAATACGCTTTTTACAATGATGCACGAAATATTGCGAAATGGAAACTATAGTCGGCCCCCTTAAATATAACCCCCATGTCCATTTCGATAGTCCCCGCTAACTGACGTCAAATACAAAGACAGACACACGATCTGTACAGGCATATTAGGCCCCAGACATAGCCGCACGAGAATTACATGCATATTAGGCCTCTCAAGCTCTTATCGATTGGTGAAATTTACATTTCAGTAGAATGGTAAAGAAATCAACTCAACTAATTTTCAAAACAAATCACAGAGAAAACAAATAGAAATGGAAATATATATGAATGTCACATTTGACCCATGAACTTTGTAAAAATACATCTAGCTACCTGTATGGGCATATATCAAATCATGATCGAAGAATGATAAAATTATATTGTCTACAAGTAAGATATAAAAACTTATCCTCTCAAAGAATTAAAAATGAGTTTGAGAATAGTTTTAAAAAGCTTCACATCTTCACAACATCATTTTTCCTTATTCAATCTCTCTAAAAAATACAAAATGACTAGTTTTACAAGCAAATAAGTTTAAAATCAATTTAGTTTTGCCAACAGCTGGCGCTGAAATGAAAGAAAAGCGTGTTGTATTGGCTTACCATTTATCAGCAATTGAATATAAGTGGGCGTGGAAAACTCGATATCTATAAAATAAACTCCCTCTGGCCACATAGATTTTAAAATATTTCCCGAAATCGCGTCTTTTATAAGGAAAACGCAAATTTCTAACCCTGTGAAAAAAATTAACAGAAATCGTAAGTGCTAAAAGTCTAATTCATATTAAACATCTGACATCATGCATAAAGATCTATTTAGAAATTTCTTTACAAGATTACGAATGTAAGACGTTTTACCTTTCTGATCTGAGGGAAATTCGACGGAATGAGAACGTCCAAACACAGCATAATATTCATCAGTAAATAAGGAATTCCCTTGCATTTCGTAACTGCGAAATGTGTTTCCGATGGTCTGATTCATATTAAGGGTCCAGGTATCCCCACTGACGCTGATAAACACTCTTAAAGTGTTCCATTCTTCAACAGCATTGCCTTTGATATGCAACGTCTTGCTGTTATATTTCCGAAAATAAAAACATATATGTACATTGATTTCTTCCTATACGAGTGGATTAAGCCGTAGTAGATTAAATAGAAAGAATATATAAATCGTAGCAAATTTATTCCAACTATTGTAGACTTACTTTTGGTATGTAATGTGTAAGTCGTACTGCAGATCATGTTGAGATAAAGATATAATTAGAACTTTGTTTACGGAATTCGTCTCCTGCTTGATTAATAGAACGTCTTCTCCATTGATCTCCATTACTCGAAAACAAAACAACAGAACAACGGCTGTATGCGGTTTACTTCTACCTCCGATCAAAATTGAACTGCTACTGCTTTTAAGTTTTACCAAAAATCCTATGAAATGATAAAAAAAATGTGTCATAGCATTTACTTTTGCTAATGTACTTTTGTGCTGCATATCTTTTATTTATGCTCCCGAAATGGAAGACAAGGTTAGCTTTTTTAAAAAAGCTGATTGTCAGCCACTGGAATACAGAAAGTTTCTTTCTTGTTTTGTAATGGTTTATGATTTGATCTACCCATCATGTTGTGTTCCTTAAATGTAATAAATGCCATTGTAAGAAAATTTAAATTAGTTGTAATAATTATTGTTTTCTTATTTGTAACGTAATGCCACATACATAATAAATAATAAAGCATAGAATATTTTTTTTTAATTCTGCATCGTGACCATTACAATGATCTCCAATAAATTCTCTTCGGCGCAGACATCAGAGAAAGTTCATCTTATACCGGTAAATGAACAAAAGCCACCATGGCAACTAAGATCACGTTAAATTCTATAAAAATGATATGCAGATTATGATGAATAAAAGGAAGGTAGACTTTGTGTTAGATCGTTTTTAAATATTATTAAATAACAGTTTTCATTTGTGTGCATTTCGAGGCAATGCATGGGGGGGGGGGGGGGGCATACTGCATCTATATTTCATTTAATTTCTAAGTTTGAGCATCCATTTTCGTGTTATTAGGAAAGAAAAGAATTGCTTCCAAAAAAGTAATGAACGCCACAGAAAACAATTTTAAATGGAAATTCAAAATATGTTTATACATGCAGTACGTATACATGTACACAAAATGTCTTTGATGATGTCTACCATCATAGCAAAACTATAGATTAAAAAACTGGAATCCATTCCCCCTCTCTCCTTTCATGGGGAGGGGGGGGTTGACCCAGTCTATAAATCAGCACAGTTCTCTCAGCTATCGCATTTCCACTGTGGTCTCACATGTGGGCGCGGTTCACGTGCACAAGCGGCACTTACACGTCTATCATCATTTAAGGGGGATGTACAAGCCATATTGGATCTAGTCTGGTGTAAAATAAGAAATACCAAGAATGCGCTTAATACTCTACTAAACTAGCCCAAAGTTACTCAAAGTGCTAATGCACTAATTACCTACTATTAGAGACCAAAATCAGTTAATAATTAAGTTTATTTTGTTTTAATCAGGAGGAAATTAATCATGTTAGAACTGCGCAGCTACAGCATTCACGAGATGAAAAATGCATTGAATTTAGTGTTAGTTTGATTCATTGATAATATGGCTACAACCATTTGTTTCGCGTTTTTCTTGTCATTATCCATAATTCTTAAAAATTTGATTTTTCATATGGGTGTCTTCCTGAGGCCATGTGTTTATTTCGTCCGCCATTCCTCTGTCACACAGAGTTCGAATAGCATTGGTTTTAGAATAAATGCGACCATAATAACATCAAGACAAGAAATTACTAGGTAATAATCATTAGGTTATATTACTTACTACTTTTATTTGTTGCATTGCATCGTCTGATTAATGAAAAAAAAGCGATTTTAACCCCACTCCAGCA